TGGGGCTCCAGGGGAATTGGCGTCTCCATGCCTGCGGGGATTCAGGGATGGGGGTGCTGTGGGAACATGGTCCCCAGGCATTTGGGCTCATGGCATGTGGGTGCCAGGGTTTGGGTTGTACGGGGGAAAAAAGAACCCTTGGGAAGAGGAGTTCTGGGGGAAGAATCAGCCACTGGGATGGGATCAAGGCAAGGCTGGTCCCGGGCAATGGCAGTCCTGGGATTGGGGTCCCTGGGAAGGAGAGACAAAAGTGATGGAGGTCCCATGGTTGGGGTTCCAGGAATGGGATGCCAGGGATGGGAAATGGCAGGGTGGACATGGGGGTCACAGCTCTTTCTCAGGGTGCATCAGATTTTGGGGTGACCCAGGGCCCAGCACAGCCCCCAGTCCGGGGAGCTCGTTTCCTAGGCAGTATCACATGGGGCTCCTGGGTTGCTGCCTGACTCTGTGCCCTCCCCTGCCATTGAATTTTCCCAGTCTTTATTTCTCCTTTAATTTTCCTCATTTTGTGCCATGCCCCCTGACCCCTGGTTCCTGGCTCAACAATCCAGGGAGCACATGAGCAGGGAATGGGTTGGGGGAACCCAGGGGTAGGGGAAAATGGGGAGTGGGGAGTTCAGGGAAGGGTGGGGAGGCTGTGGGGAATGGAGGTGTTGGGCTGTGCCCCTCAACACTTTCACTTTCTTTTTGCTGGACAAGAAGGAACATGCTGTTTGTGCTGAGACTCTGATGAGAAAGGGGGAGGGGATTCTGTCCTGGGGGAAAACCAGGGGAGTCCTGTCCTGGGAGGTCCTTGTTTTGTGAAATCCAGTCCAGGGGCGACACATCCTGGCATGGGGGGTCCTGTCCAGTGCGTGGCACTTCCAGAAATGTCCCTGCATATTCCTGGATGGCTGCCTGTTCCAGGGCTGGCACATCCTGGGCACCCCTGTCAGTGAAAGGCTGGAGCCCAGCCATGGCCCAGCCCCACTGCACAGGGGTGGCCACTGGCCAGCCCTGCTCTGGCCAGCCCCAGGTGGCAGCCAGGACCTGAGGGTCCCCCTAGTCCCCCGGCTTTGATTCTGGCAGCTTTAGAGCTGCTGCAGAGGTGAAAATCCTGTGGGGGAAATGGCCAGCCTGTGGTTTGCTCAGCCCTGCAAGAAGCACAAAACCCAAAGGGAGCCCAAGCAGTGGCTCTGCGAGGGCCTTTGATGGTTTTCAGGGCAGGGCTGGCTGGAAACCCCCCTGCAGGGGCAGCTGAGAGGGAACCAGTCCGGAAATGCAGCAATTGATCATTTTGTCTCTTGCAGCAAGGGTCTGAGATAGCTCCAAAAACCCTGCAAAGACAATAACGTTTTGCACAAGAACCTGACCAGGTCCCTCCTCCTTGCTGTCTCAAACCTGCAGCCCTGTGGACCATCATGGCAAGAATATTTGGGTTCTGGCTCGGCTGCCCTACAAGAGGGAATTGTGTGGAAACATCGAGCAATGTCTGTGTGCTGCGGCCGTGGTGGGGCTGTGGGGAGTGACCCTGTCTGGATTCCAGGTGTCCCCAGAGCTGCTCCATCCCTGCCCTCCTCACCTGCACAGGGCACGGGGAATAGACAGGGCTCTGCCCCAGCCATGCCCCACCCCTGCCAGGGTACCCCTCCACTTCGCGGAGCTGTGGGGACATTACCCTGTGTCGTGGTTGAACACTGGCACAATGCCAGTGCCCCCATGAAAATGCAACCTCTCAGCTGAATGCTGTGAAATGAGATCGAGAGCGGAGCAAAGCAGGCCAAGCTTAATAACCAAAAGGTAAAAAACTTTATGAAGCTACTAGTACTATACTTCTATAAAAGAGGAAAAAAAAACAAAAAGGAAAGCACACAAAGAATCCAAAATGAAAACCTGTCAAAACATTTCTCTTCCCAGTGCCCCCAGTGTCACAACACGATCTTGTTGTCACGGGGGTCCCTCTGTCCCTTGTAGGGTCCCAGCAGCTCCACGTTGGTCACTCGTGGATCCCGAGGTGGGGCAGGGCCAGGGGACACCCGTGGGGGCCCTGAGAGTGACACTGGTTGTGGGGACCTGGGGGAGAGGGGACACCCGAGGGTGATGCATCCCTCTGTCCCCTCCTCCGGGGCGTCCTGTGGGGATAAGGGGGGTCTGGGCGGTGTCAGGGGAGGCGGAAAGGGGAGTCCCAGCCCAAGCCCCCCACTCACCTGTCCTGGAGCTTCCTGGCAGCTGCAAGGGAAAGGGGAGGGGGTGACCATGGGGACCCCGGGACCCCTGAACCTTCCTGGCACCTTGGCAGCTCCAACCACCCTTGCAACCCCCAAATCCCCACTGCAGCCCCAATTCCCACAGGACCCTTGATTCCCCCTGGACTCTCCCAGCACCCCTGAACATCCCAGAACTTCTGCACCACCACAGTGCTCCAAACCCACCTGGTATCCCCGGTATTTGAGCCCCAGAACCATAAACCCGGCAGGGAGGGTCACCCCCAAACTCCCCCACCACCCCAAAAAGATCCCCCAACATCCATGCATGGCCCATCAAGAGCTCCACAAACCCTCCAGGAGATTCCGGTGCCTGCCCAACATTCCCCAAAGCCCACCAAGGGATGGCTCTGGAGCCCAACCAAGACCCTCCAAATTCCCCACAGATGCCCCAGGACCCCCAGCCGAGGTCACTGCGGGCTCAGTTTCCCCAGCCCAGGGTCCCTGGGTGCTGCTAATCTCTGCCCCCACTCTAGGGGCTTCCCCTCACTCCAGGACCCCCATCCCCCCCATTGTCACCCACCCCGGCGGTGCCACCAGAGACAGCCCCCGACGACAGCCAGGAGCAGGAGCAGGAACAGGAGGGTCCTGCCGACATTCACAGCCACTGCTGGGGACAGAGAGGGACACACCGAGGTCACCCTGAGCCTCGGGCATCCTGAACAGCCCAGTGACCCCTTGGGACCCCACCTGTGAGCCAGGGAGAGCCAGGTGTCACCTCCAGGGCCAGCTCGGGGGTGAGTGCATGGAACACGCGGTGTCCGTCCTGAACCAGCTGGTTTGTGGCCACGCACTGGTAGGTGCCCGAATGTCCCACATCGACGTCCCCAAGCCCCAGGAGGGGACCCTGGGCCACCTCCTGCCCCTTGTGCAGCCAGGTGAAGGTGACAGGGGCTGAGCCCACCTGCACCGAGCAGCGCAGGGTCACGGGATCACCTGTGCGCACCTGGTGTGCCAGGGGACCAGGGGTGATGGTGGCATTAGCCACAGGCACTGTGGGGACACAGACAGGGCTGGCACCGGGCGGGGTGCGATGGGTTGCCATGGGTGGGGTCCGCCCCAGCCCGATGGTCCCGCTCACCCGGCACGGTGACATTCAGGGGGTCACTCTTGGCCACACTCTCCCCGTTGCTGACCCGGCACCGGTACTGGCTGCTGTCATTGTCCCCAACGTGCCGCAGCTCCAGGCGGGGCCCGGTGCCCAGCAGTGCCCCCGAGCCCTCCCAGTGCCAGGAGAAGGACAGGGGACCTGTCCCCTTGTCCACCACGCAGCTCAGCACTAGTCTGTCCCCAAGTGCCACCTGTCCCCCGGGGGGCTGCACCTACAGGGACATCCCCGAGGGCGGGACCCCTGTGGGAGGGGGACACCAGGGGACAGTGAGGGACTGGGGGGGTCGGGGAGGCACAGGGGGACCCCAGGGAGGGAGAGGGGGGCAGAGATGGGGGGGGCTTGTAAAGGAACCCCGAGGTTCAGGGAGGGGACACTGGGAGAGGGAGGTGGGTGACACCAGGAAGGGGTGAGGGGACCCAGGGAGGAGGGGATGGGGGAGACCCGTGACAGGGATGGGGGTCTTGGGCAGTAATGGGGAGACACGGAAAAGGTGTTGGGGAAGGATGGGGGTCCCCAGGCAAGGCTGGGGGAGCCTGGAAGGGATGGGGGGACCCAGGGTGAGATCGGAGAAGGGATGGGGGAACCGGGACACGGAGGGGGGACCCGGGGAAGGATGGAAGGAGCCAGGGAGGGACGCGGGCAGTGATGGGGAGAGTTGGGAATGGTGTCAGGGAAGGCTGGGGATCCCCCGACAGGGCTGGGGTACGCGGGGCGGGACCCTGGAAAGGATGGGGATATCAGGGAAGGGATGGGAGGAAGGACCTGGGAAGGGAGGGGGTGACCCAGGAAATATGTCAGGCAGGGCTTGGGGTCCCCACGTGCTGATGGGGTGTCCTGGTTTGTAAGATAATCTTGTATTCTATTTGCCATCTGTTGGAGGTTGGGTTGTTATCTCTTCCAAGAACAACGGTTTGCTCTGAAGAGGTAATGGTTTGTTAATGGGCCATTGACTGGCTCACTTGCAGGGCTGGTAAACGTAACATCATCCCATTGTGAGATGCTCCACCCAGAGGGGGAAGCCAAGCACTCTTTTATTGGATAAAGGGGTACCTTTTGGGGAGACAGGGCAGCTCTCTTTTTGCGGGATTTCCCAGAGTAGCAGCTCCTTTGGCGGGATTCCCAGAGAAGCGGCTGGAGCGTGGTGAGGCGGTGGCGGCGGAGCTCGGAGGCAACCCCGGCGCAGAGGAAGACCGGCCCCTCGGTTGACGTGGGGGGACCCTCCAGCAGCGAAATCTGGAAAGAGCTCAGGGAATGAGAGGGGAGGTGAGGACGGTGACTCTGAGTCTGCTGGGAAGTGGCTTTGGGGGTGCCAGGATGTTGGAGTTCACGCTGTGGGTGTGCTCACCCTGCACTGTCACTGTCACTGGCAGTGACTCCTTCCAACCCCAGAATTTCATCCAGCCCTTACAGCTGTAGCGGCCGCTGTGGTTCATTTGCAGAGCGGACAGGCACAGCTCGGTCCCATCGCAGAGACTCCTCAGTTTCTTCCCCTCATGATAGAAGGACACCCAGGTGACCGTGTAGTTCCCCCAGCACCGGCAGCGCAGTGTCACCATGTCCCCCTCCATCAGCGCCCACGCCGGCAGCTGCAGCACCAGCAAGTCTGGGGGACAGAGGGGTCCTGTCACACCCCATGGCACCGGGACCCCCCAGCACACCAGGGGTCCCCAGTTTCAATACGGAGTCCCCTCAGAGCGGGGGACAGGCTCTGGGCACATCAGGGGCTGACCCATGGAGCGGAGCCCACCCAGAGCCCTTGGGGTTCCCATGGTGCCAGGCTTGGGACACCCAAACCCCTCTCACCGTTTGAGACAGTCATGGGGGAGCTGTGCCCGGTGTTGGGTCTGTGACACTGGTAGGTGCCATACTTGTTGACATTGAGGCGGTCTCCTCCCTGCTGTCCCCATCGCTTCAATCCTTGTACCAGGTGGTGACACCGGCGGTCCCCGAGCCCTGGCAGGTCAGTGTCACCTGGTCCCACAGCACTGCCGGCCTCCAGGGAGGCTCCACGAGGAGCTGGGGGGGTCTGGGCACCTGAGGTAATAGGGGACTTCAGCCTGCCAGGGCCACCACGGGGCTGGGGACAGCAGGATGGGGACATGGCATCCCCCGAGGACTCACCAGCGAGGCCGAGGGTCTGGGCTGGAAGGGAGAAGGGACAGGGCTGGGTGGGGGTGGCACCGTGGGGACAGTGCCACTGAGGGCGCAGTGTTTCGGTGCTGTCCCCAAAGTGTCTCCATGGGGAGAACCTTCAGTACTTGTGGGGAAAGTGCGTGGGGATGGTCCCCAAAAGATTTGGCGAGGCACGGGGACATGTCTATGTCACAGCCACCCCTGCAGCACATCCATGTGGCACAGAAGCCTTGGGAAAAGGGACATCGAGGCCACACTGGGCTGAGGCAGAACATGGGAACACTGTGCAGTGGGGCTGGGCCATGGCTGGGCTCCAGCCTTGGACTGACAGGGGTGCCCAGGATGTGCCACCCCTGGAACAGGCAGCCATCCAGGAATATGCAGGGACATTTCTGGAAGTGCCACGCACTGGACAGGACCCCCCATGCCAGGATGTGTCACCCCTGGACTGGATTTCCCCAAAACAAGGACCTCCCAGGACCCTACTCCCCTGGTTTTCCCCCAGGACAGAATCCCCTCCCCTTTCCCATCTGACTCTCAGCACAAACAGCCTCTTCCTTCTTGTCCAGCAAAAAGAAAGTGAAAGTGTTGAGGTGCACAGCCCAACACCCCTATCCCCCACAGCCTCCCCACCCTTCCCTGCATCCCCCACTCCCCATTTTCTCCTCCCCCTGTGTCCCCCTAAACCATTCCCTGCTCAGGTGCTCCCTGGGATTGCTGAGCCAGAAACCAGTAGTGAGGGGACATGGCAAAAAATTTAGGACAATAAAGAATGAAGAGAATAAAGAGAGGAAAAAGTCAAAGGCAGGGGAGGGCACAGAGGCGGAGCTATGCAGGACCCCCATGTGATGCCTGCCCAGGAAATGAGCATCCCAGGGGTGCTGCGCTGGGCCTTTGGTCACCCCAAATTCTGAGGTACCCAGAGAAGGAGCTGTGAACCTGTGCCCACCCAGCCACTGCCTTTCCCTGGCACCCCCATTCTCATGGGAGCCCAATGTGGGACCCCCATTACTTTGGTCTCTCCTTCCTGAGGACCCCCATCCCAAGACTGCCATTGCCCAGGACCACACTTGCCTTGATCCTATCCTATGAGCAGCTTCTTACCCCACAGCCACTATTCCTGAGGGTCCCCTTTTCCTCCCTGCATCCCCAGCTTTGGCACCCACATGCCATGAACCCAAATCCCTGGGGCCCATGTTCCCACAGCACCCCCATCCCTGAATCCCCACAGGCATGGGGACCCAAATTGACCTGGACCCCCATTCTCCTGGACACCAATCCCCGGCTCCCCAAACCCTCTGAGGCCCCCAGTCCTGGCAACAGCATCCCCAACCATGTGCCCACATTATCCCATAATGTCCCCAGCCTGTCCCCTGCTGTGTCTCCACCTTTCCCCCACCCTGCCCCCATCAAGTGCCACCTACACATGGGGACGAGACGTGACCTCGCTTCCTTCCCCTTCATCTGAAGAGCCGCCAGCCAGGGGAGCGGTGGCCACAGCAGCCAGGGACAGCCAGTCCACATGGCTGGGGACACTGGGATGGCTGGGAAGGTGGCACTGCTCCTGTGGGGTGAGTGCCCCGGGCACGGGCCTGACAGCCCAGGGATGGGCCCTGGTGAGGCAGAGACCAGTGGGGAGGGGGCACAGGGGGGCTGCGGGGTAGTCCCTTGAGGTCCTCAAGGCCAGCAGTGCCAGTCTGTGTTTCCCACAGTGCAGCTTGGAGTGACTGGGGATGTCAGGTGGCTTTGGGGACAGCAAGAGGGGGCAGGAATTTGGGAATGGGGATGTGGGGACAGGAATGTGGGGACTGGCACCTTTAGGCTCAGGGAGCTCTGGGCACAGGGACAATGGAACTGGGATGCAGGGACAGAAGGGGACAAGAGGGCTGAGGATGTGCATGTGGGGATGGGATCATGGGGATGGGATCAGGAGCTGGTGGGGTGTGACTTGGACCAGCATGGGGTGTGTCCATGGTGTCCCTGTGCCCGGGGTGTCCACAGTGTCCCCATGTTCTGCCTCAGGCCAGGGTGGCTTCAGTGTCCCTGTTCCCATGGTGTCCGTGCCACAGGGATGTGGTGCAGGGGTGGCTGTGACACAGACATGTCCCCTGGCCTCTCTAAATATTTTGGGGAAGATACTCACTTTCTCACAAGAACTGAAAGTTCTCCCCATGGGAACACTTTGGGGACTGCCTCCACACTCTGTACCACAGATGTTTCTGTCCCCATGGTGCTAGCCGCACACAGCATTGTCCCTTCTCCCTTCCAGCCCAGACCCTCGGCCTCGCTGGTGAGTCCTCGGAGGATGCCATGTCCCCACCTCACTGTCCCCAGCCCCATACTGGTCCTGGCAGGCTGGTGTCCCCTGTCACCCACAGGTGCCCTGGCCACCCAGCTCCTTGTGGAGCCCCCCTGGATGCCGGCAGTGCTGTGGGACCAGGTGACACTGACCTGCCAGGGCTCGGGGACCACCGGTGCCACCACCTGGTACAGAGACACGTGGCAGCAGGGACAAGACCAAGTCCCTGTTCCCGAGAGTGGCACCTACCGGTGTGAGAGATCCGGCACTGGGCTCAGCCCCTCTGTGAGCGTCTTAAATGGTGAGGGGGGATCTTAAATGGCCAGGGTAGACTTTGATAGGTCTGGGTGGGCTCCTCTCTGTAGGTGAGCTCACGCCCCTTCTGAGGCGAGAGCCTGTGCCCTGCACACAGGGACATCAGACTGTATCCCAGTGCACCCAGATGTCCCTAGTTCCAGGGGCACCCTCCTCCGACCTGATTGGAGCCCCTCGGTGAGATGGGACCTTCCTGTTCCACAGACTGGCTGGTGCTGCAGGTGCCAGCAAACGCTCTGCTGGAGGGGGACACCATGACACTGCGCTGGCAGGGCCGGCAGGACAACCCGGTCAGCGAGGTACGATTTTTCCGGAATGAGAAAGACCTGGGGAGGTCCTTCAGGGGGACCGAGCTGTCCCTGTCCCCTCTGCAGCTGCACCACATCGGCCGCTACCGCTGTGAGGGTTTGGTGAAATCCTGGCTGAGAAGGTCAGCAACAGTGACAGTGACACTGCATGGTGAGCACACCCACCGCTGGAACTCCGAAATCCCAACACCCCCAAAGCCACTTCCCGGTGGACTCAGGGTCACAGTCCTCACCTCCCCTCTTCTTGCCAGAGCTCTTCTCAGTGCCGGTGCTGGAGGGTTGCCCTGAGCCCATCGAGGGGTCCCTCCTGACTCTCAGCTGCCTCAGCACCCCCAGCCCCCTGCGGCCTCGCGCCCCCCTCCTGCATGTGTTCTACCGGGATGGGCAGGTGGTGGGGGGCCCGCAGGGGTCCCCACAGCTGCTGGTGCCCGCAGTGGGGGTCTCCCACTCAGGGAATTACAGCTGCGAGGTGCGCTCCGAGGGGGGGGCTGTGCGGAAGAGCAGTGCCTGGCTTCACATCACAGTGCGCAGTGAGTGTGGGGATGGGCACAGGGAGCCCCAACAGCCTCCCAGGGTCTCCCAGCACTACGTGGGTAGTTCCTTCAACTTCCTTAACACCCTTCCATGTCTCACTGTCTCTGCCCCAGCTCCCTCCCTCAATCCCCTCATTCCTACCTTGTGTCTCCTCATCTGTCACCGTGTCCCCTCATCCCTCCCAGGGTTCCCCCACCCCTCTCTGAGGTCCACGCATGGTCCTCAGGTCCCCCCATCCCATGTCTTGTTCCCCTCACCCCTTCCAGTTGTTGCCCACCTCCCTCTCCCGGTGTCCCCTCCCTGGACCCTCTGTTCTTCCTCAGGGCTCCTTTCCAAGCCCCCCCCATCTCTGCCCCGCCTCTCTCTCCCCGGGGTCTCCCTGCTCCTCCCTGTCCCCCCTGGGTTCCTCACTGTCTCCTGGTGTCCCACTCTCTCGCAGGGGTCCCACCCTCGGGGGTGTCCCTGTCGGTGCAGCCCCCCGGGGGACAGGAGGCACTTGGGGACAGCCTGGTGCTGAGCTGCATGGTGGCCAAGGGGACAGGTCCCCTGTCCTTCTCCTGGCACCGGGAGGGCTTGGGGGCACCGCTGGGCACCGGGCCCCGCCTGGAGCTGCGGCACGTTGAGGACAATGACAGCAGCCAGTACCTGTGCCGGGTCAGTGACAGGGACAGCGTGGCCGAGAGTGACCCCCTGAATGTCACCGTGCTGGGTGAGCGGGACCCTCGCGCTGGGGGTGACCTCACCCACAGCACCCCCATCCCACCCCGCCCAGTGCCAGCCCTGTCTGTGTCCCTGCAGTGCCCGTGGCCAATGGCACCATCACCCCCGGTCCCCTGGCACACCAGGTGTGCACAGGTGATCCCGTGAACCTGCACTGCTCGGTGCAGGTGGGCTCAGTCCCTGTCACCTTCACCTGGCTGCACAACAGGCAGGAGGTGGCCCGGGGTCCCCTCCTGGAGCTTGGGGATGTCAAGGTGGCACATTCGGGCACCTACCAGTGCGTGGCCACCAACCAGCTGGGACAGGACGGGCATCGCGTGTTCCAGGCACTCAGCCCAGAGCTGGCCCTGGAGGTGACACCACGGGGACACAGGAACACAGGTGGGGTCATACAGGGTCACCAAGGAGTGCAGCACCCCTGGGGTGATGGGTGATCCTGATGTGTCCCCCTCTGTTTCTTGCAGTGGCCACAGGGGTCGGTGGCACCATTTTGTTCCTGGTCCTGCTCGTGGGTGTCATTGTGGCCTGGCACCGGTGGCACCGAGTGGGTGGGTGACAATGGGGGGACGGGGGTCCCAGGGAGCTGTAGGAAGCCCCCAGAGTTGGGGAGGGATAGGGCAGTACCAATATGCCCAGGACTGTGACCTTTGCTGGGAATCCTGAGGGCTTTTGGGAGATATTGGAGGGTCCTGCAGGGATGTTGGAGGTTCTTTCAGGGGTCCTGGGTTGGTCTGGGGGATCGCTGTCACTGTTGGACTTTGGGTCCTTGAGGCTAAGTTGGTCAGGGCCACTGGGGATATTCATGAATTCTGGGGGGCTCCAGGGGTGCTTGGGCATCCTGAGGGGAATTGGGGGTCCTGTGGGGCTTCAGAAATCCTAAGAGTGATCAGGGCCCAGGGACCCCACACTCACCCCTCTTTCATCTTTCTTCTGCAGCTGCCAGAAAGCACCAGGAAAGGTGAGTGGGAATCTCCAGCCATGAGTCCCCTTTTACCCCAACCCCACAACACTCCATCCCTTCTCACACATCCCCTTTATTCTCTCAGGGCCCTTCTGGATCCCCCAGCTCCCCCAGAGGAGGGGGAGGTGCTGTACACCCACATTGTGATCACCAAGAGGACAGGGGGTGAGTACAGGGGGGACACATGCACAGGGACATGCCACCCACGAGTGTCACTCCACCCAGATGCCACAGCCCGTGTCTCTCGCAGCGTCCCCCCATGCCACCACACTCCAGAATCCCCAGGTGACCTACACGGAGCTGCGGGGACCCCGGGAGCAACCTCAGGAGCCCAGTGACATCTACGGGAATGTGCTGTGACACTGGTGGGGAAATGGGGGGCACTGGGGGTCCCACCCATGGGCACCAACACGTGTGTGGGTTGCCACTAAAAACTGCCCCTCTTCTTCCCCGTGGAAGCATAAAGATCCCAAAGGGGTGAGAGAAGAACAATTTCCTGAAACAGCAATGAGAGAGAATAAAACCAATAGCAACAGCAACGAGGTTCAGAATCCAAAGGGTCACAAAAGAAAAGATTTCCAGGGAAAGCCCTGACCATAAACAAACATTTCTGGACATTTCCCCCAGCTTCCTCCACCAGAGAAACCTGGCAGGACCCTGGACCTTCCTTGCTCTGATGGCCAAAGCGGTCTTCAGGAGACTATGGATTCTCTTGTCCCCTGTCCCAAACCCCTCCTCTGCCATGTTCCCCCACACAATGATGTCAGAAAGGCCCTGTGGATGTTCTAGAGCCTTCCATTTTTCCAGGAATGAGTCCATGACACAAGGTGAGGCTGAGGTTCCAGTCATTTCCAGGAGCTCTGGACACCCCTCCAGGTCAAGGAAAACTGTGCCCTGCCCCTGCTGCTAAAGGGATGGTATCCTGCTTTGAAGGTCTCTGCCAAGGAACGCAGCAACCTCTCTTGGAATGGAAAATATGACCCCCTTCCTTCCAAAGTATTGTAACTTTGCTACACTCTGGGACAGTGTTGGAGAAACAGCAGGGGCTGGGCAGCTGCAGCCTGGCTCCAAACAGACCAGGGAAAAGGCTCCCTGGGAGGGGAAAGTGCTTGGGTTTCTGGGGTGTGACAAACGACTGCTCACTTTTAAAATTTCAAAGGCTTACTATACTTTAACAAAAATTACAACAAAGGACTGAAAAAGGAAAAGCTATTCAGCACTAGGAGTCTCCGTGACTACCAGCTACAAGCTCCTCTACAAAAGGGATGCTTTTCCTTTTATACCCTTAGCCCCGCCCAAAGTTTTGTCAGTCAACTCTTTTTCTGACGTCTATTGGTGGAGATTATTTTCTTACATCTTGACTGGAGCTCACATGTTGTTGCGCTTGTCTTCCTGGAAACAAGCCAGCCTCCTCTAAATGTCTTGACTACCAAGGCTATTACAGGGTGGGGGGAAAGAGAACTATGGGATGACATATTACAATAACATTCTACATAATATCTATCTCTTAATTGTGAGAGCCAATTATTACATTACTTATCTAGAACACCGGGGACCCCCACAGACTGTGGGGGAATCCCCGGAGCCCCTCGTGTCCCTCCTTCCTCCCTGCAGTGCTGTTCCTCTCGCAGCCTCCCGCTCCTCTCGGCTGTTGCAATTCCATCTCTGCCTTCCCTTGGATTTGCCCTTCCCAGCAATGGGCAGCCCCAGCCCCTCCCCAGTTCCCTCGCTTGTTCCAGGACTCCCCGCGAGTGCCAGGAGCTGTTGGTCCCGTTGCCATGGCACAGCCAGTCCTGACACATCGTGACAGTGGCCTCAACACGCTGTCACATGTGGAGTTGCGTGATTTGTATGTTTTATTATCCTTGTATTATGTATCGGTTTATTCCTTTGTACCCCCATGTACAACTTGGTTTGTCCCCAGTTTTCCCACCTTGTCCTCCCTTCCCGCCTCTCCAGTGGCTGTCCATCACCCTGGAAGAGGCGCAGCCCTCCCCTTTACCCCTCCCAGGTGCCTTGTCCATCACTCGGTGTTCCTTCCCATCCATCTAGAAGCTTCTACTCAGGGCACCGGGTGATTGGGCGAGGACCTGGGGCTCCCCCCATATCCTTCCCCCATTGGACCACATCATATCACCCCATCCCGGAGCCACTCCCTATCCCTATCCCCATTGGTCGTCGGTTACCCCTCCCCTACACTTTATATGCCAGTGTAAGAACCCAGTTGGGGTTCCTGTTGGCTGGCACTATTCTGCAATAAACCTGGACTTCGCCCCCAGCAGGATCCTCTCTTCTTTCCACCGCGAGGCTTGCTAGCGCTGCCCGGGACCCACAGAGGCACTCTCCAAANTCTTGTCCCCTTCTGTCCCTGCATCCCAGTTCCCTTGTCCCTGTGCCCAGAGCTCCCTGAGCCCAAAGGTGCCAGTCCCCACATTCCTGTCCCCATATCCCCATCCCCAAATTCCTGCCCCCTCTTCCTGTCCCCAAAGCCTCCCGACATCCCCAGTCACACCAAGCTGCACTGTGGGCAACAGGGACTGGCACTGCTGGCCTTGGGGACCTCAGGGGACCCCGCAGCCCCCCTGTGCCCCCTCCCCACCGGTCTCTGCCTCACCAGGTCCCATCCCTGGGCTGTCAGGCCCGTGCCGGGGCACTCATCCCACAGGAGCAGTGCCACTTTCCCGGCCATCCCAATGTCCCCAGCCATGTGGACTGGCTGTCCCTGGCTGCTGTGGCCACCGCTCCCCTGGCTGGCGGCTCTTTGGATGAAGGGGAAGGAAGCGAGGTCATGTCTCATCCCCACGTGGTGGTGGCTCATGCTGAGGGCAGGGTGGGGACAGGACTGGGGCAGGGTGTGGATCTGGTGGGACATGGGGATGATGGTGAGCCATGGTGGGGATGTGGTGTTGGCAGAATTTGGAGTCTGAGGTGGAATGGGGTGCCTAGGGATGGGGTCTCAGAAGAATGGGTGTCGCAAGGGCTGGGTGTACTCAGACTCAGGACTAAGGGTCCGAGCACTATGTGGTGCTGAGGGATTTGTGATCATGGGAAGGGGGCCAAAGGAATGGAGGTACAGGAGAACAGGGTTCCTGGGGGAATCAAGTTCCCCAAGGGAAGGGAGGTCAGAGAGACTGGAATTACTGGGATGGGGTTCCTTGGGAATGGAGATCCTGAGGAATTGCAATCTACGCATGGGGGCCCCAGTGAAATGGGGACAGAAGTAATGGGGAGGAATGGGGATCCCATGACTGGGGTCCCAGGGAAATGGGGGTACCAGGGATGGGCAGTGCCTGGGTGGGCACGGGGGTCACAGCTCCTTCTCTGGGTGCCTCAGATTTGGGGGTGACCCAGGGCTCAGCACAGCCCTCTTGGGGTGCTTGTTTCCTGGGCATGCATCACATGGGGGTCCTGGGTTGCTCTACCTCTGTGTCCTCCCCTGCCCTTGACATTTCCCTCTTGTTATTTCTCTTTTTCCCTTATTTTCCTCACTTTTGTGCCATGTCCCCTCACCACTGGTTCCCGACTCAGCGATCCAGGGGAGCATCTGAGCAGGGAATGGGTTGGGGGGACTCCGGGGAGGAGAAATATGGAGTGTGTGGGGGTGCAGGGAAGGGTGGGGAGGCTGTAAAGATGGGAGTGTTGGGCTGTGCCCCTCAACATTTTCACTGTCTTTTTCCTGGACAAGAAGGAAGAGGCAGTTTGTGCTGAGAGTCTGATGAGAAAGGCGAGGGGATTCTGTCCTGGGGGAAAACCAGGGGAGTCCTGTCCTGGGAGGTCCTTGTTTTGGGGAAATCCAGTCCAGGGGTGACACATCCTGGCATGGGGGGTCCTGTCCAGTGCGTGGCACTTCCAGAAATGTCCCTGCATATTCCTGGATGGCTGCCTGTTCCAGGGCTGGCACATCCTGGGCACCCCTGTGTCTTGGTTTGACAAGACAGGAGTCTGTGAAAGAGGGCAAAGCCTCCTGTGCAATGGAGAATGGTAAACCCCCTTCTTTCTGAATTACTAGGATTTTTAAATTAAAGGCTCTCAGGCAAAGATATGGGAGTGGGAGTAACAATTCTTTACTAGGAGAAAACTAGACAACAATTTAAAAAGGCAAATGCAATCGGTACAAACAAAACCAGTGAAAGAAAAAGTCCAGAACCTGAGGGATGCCAGTATTAGTTCTGCTGGGACAATTGCTTCCCTTGCAATAGTTGATGAATTGCAGCTGCAGTGGTGATCTTTAGAAGGGTATAGTTTTCCTCTGAAGATCTGGTGGCAGTGGGGCCGGTCTTCCTCTGCGCCGGGGTTGCCTCTGAGCTCCGCCGCCGTCGGCTTAGCGCGCGCCGGCTGCTTCGCTGTGAGTGCCGCCGAAGAGAGCTGCTTCTCCGGGAATCCCGCGAAGAGAGAGAGAGCGAGCTGCTTCTCTCCCTAAAAGCTACCCCTTTATACTATAATAGAGTGCTTGGCTTCCCCTCTGGGCGGGACCCCCCTCACTTACCAGCCCGGCAGGGAGTCAGTCAATAGTGTATAAACAAACCATTGCCTTTACGGGGCAAACCATTGTCTCTGAGAGAGATAACAAAACCTGTCCGACAGGTTTGCTTTTAACAGATGGCAAATAGAATACAAGCTTATTTTACAACCCAGGACA